AACATAAGCATTTTGATGTATTGTTTGTTTGCATGATTCCCAGTGCTGAACTAATACAATGCTGCCCGTGTCTCATTTGTTCTTTGTTATTATGTTGGGGTTTTTTTAGGCTAAGTGATAGCTGGTTTATTATCATGGCTTAATAACACTCTGCCCCATTTGAGCTGTGATAACTGTCCTTGTCCGTGCTCTTAACCTACAAAAAAGCATGCAAAATAATTTGACCTGGTCTACCGTAACGGTGCTAAACCAAATTATCTTACATCTGTCGTAGTTCAAAAACCCCACACTAAGAGTTCCCACGGCTCAGCTAACATGTTGTAACTTCTGTGATACGGAACCTAACATCACCCTTTGCTTCTGAACTTCAGATTATTTCCTTGCGGCTGCTGAAACCAAAATCCAGTCTGCCCTATGCATACTTTGGGTACTTGCTTTCATGTTTTTGCAAGTCAGGATCTAAGTCACGTTCCCCAATACTCATTTATGGTTTACCCATAATCCATGTTATGTGCTTATACGAGATCGGGGTAAGACAACACCGATGTGGTTGCGATGATTACTTGGTGATATGATTACTTCTAACATTACAGCAATTGCATGATGAATATCGCTGGGCTACCACAGAACTTAACTTGGGTACGAATGCTTTTCCAAATTTGCAAACTCGCTTTTCCAAATTCGCAGTTCTCCCTTGGGATTTGTTTTCTAATGCCTCTAATTATTTACGCAAGCACAGAAATTCTGATAAAGGAAACAAACTGAAAAGCTAATCCTATGTGAAAAAAAGTAGCTGATGTGTTTACAAGCAGTTGTAATCTTTGTCACTTAAAGTTTTAGTGTTTTTCCCCTCATGCTTTTAAACTATACTTTTGCCCTGGTTAATCTAGGGGTTTGCTTATATCAAGCAGGCTGAGTTTCTCAAAATTTTGCTAGTATAGTGTTAATATCTGCTGTTTAAAATCAAAGTCACCACTGAATTCAAAAGTGTCCATTTTAGGTATGATTCCCAATTACTTTATAATAATAGTAAATACAGTAGTAGTGTGTTATATATATAGTAATATACAATATATACTATAGTAATAGTGTATATAGATAATAAATAGCCCTAGTCAACAGCTAGTTATAAACCTGCCAGTTTGACTCTTTTGAAAAATAAGATAAATGTACAAATCGGTGATAGTGTAACAACCTGGAGCCCATCGTTTATTTAGGCTCCGATTGTGCTTCCACTGAAACCAAAGAAACTCCAATTAACTTTTAAACATGAGTAAGAGGGCATTGAGAAGTCCTGCAGATGGAAATCAGATCAACCTCTACTTCAGATCAGCAGTGCTCCCAAATGCAAAGAGCTGGATGGAGTGCGCTCCCATGTCTGGTGGGAAGAAGGAATACTTACCTTCTGCAGAAAGAGAAAACACTTGTTCTGTTATTTAGAAAAGACTGGTTCTAATGGTGTTCATGGTAGCGATTTACTTAGGGCATCAAGAGTTGTGTTCTGATTTATAAAGTACCTTAAGAGAGATGCTAGTTCCACTTAAAGAGCAAGACTCTTAGGAAACACCAGTCTGCTTCCCTGAACACAATCGGATCAGCTTTATTTTCTTTTCTTTTTTTTTTAACAAACACCTTATATCACATTTTTCCAGTAACATATATGTATGTTCCAATAAGTATCCAAGTCTTTCTAATGGTGAAGCTGCTATACAAACTCTGATCCATTTACGGTCAGTATTTTGTGAAAAGAGTGAAACTCTAGAATACCCCTTTTTAGGATTTCCATGAGGCTGGTGTGCCATACCTCGGGTCAGACTGAAAGAACAGGCTTAAATTCCTGCAGTTAGCTTTTCTATTCGGGCCACTAAGTTAAGAATTATAGTAGGAGGGATGAAAACCATCTTTTTTTCCATAACCATTTGTAAGATAAACAAGGCATACATTGGCCTCACTCCTTGAATGCAGAAGCATGAGCAGAAGTTTCTGCTCTTTTTTTTTTTTTAATGCCTTCTGTATATAAGTATAAGCAACAGGGAAAGCACTGTAACTCCAGCAGGTGCGTCCGAACGAGCTGCCCCAGAACATCCCTGTGGCCTCTCAGTAAATGCCAGCAGCAAAAAACCCGCTGTGTACTTATGCTTTCAGCTGGCCATCGACAGCGCCGCTATCGCGTGAACGCCAAGCTTACCTAATAGAAAGCACCAATGCACCACTGACAGTACATTAATACTTTTCTTTTTATTTTAAATTTTTAAAAGTCATTCCATCAATACGATGAATAGTTCTCTGAAGTAACTGAATCCTTAACAGAATGACTGAGGTTTAAAATGTATTTTTCCTCAGCCCAAAACCAAAGGACAGCCTTCCAAACAGTGCGTTTGGGTACAAAGTAAGCTCACCTCACAAAAATCCAATAAATGACTTTATTAAATATATTCTTTTCCTCTAAAATATAAATATTCACTATACTCTTATAAATGTGGAGTAGGTCCATATTTCATTTGTCTATCCCATCCAAATATGAATCAGTCCAAAATCTGAAAATGAAGAAATAGCATCTGTAATTATCATTATTTTTTCTATAAATATATATAATATGAATTTTCTTTGCAAACTGTTTAGTT